CCGGGTGCGGCCACTGCACTCCAGTCTGGGTGACAGAGTGAGACTCCAACTCAAAAAAAAAAAAAAGAAATAACCGCGCAAATAAGAATGCATATTGGTCATACACAAAGGTATGTGTGCACATATGAATGCATATACACATATATTTACAGGAGGACCTCCAGTTCCAATCTGTGACTCTATCCCATATTTGTATGTCTCTTCAACACTGAGAACGCTGGCACCCCAAATTCAGCATGTGTATTAATTTGCTGAATACTAAAATACCTCTAAAGTAGTTTCAGAATTTTTTTCCCCAAACCAGGTTTGTTACCTAAAACAAACCTACTGAGATTTCAGGATTTGTTTGCTGTTCCCTACTATTACTGCCCTGCCCTACCATTACATAGTAAAAAACACAAATGAGCCGGGCTCGGTGGCTCAGCCTGTAATCCCGCGCCTTTGGGAGGATGAGGTGAGTGGATTGCCTGAGCCCACGGGTCTGAGACCCGCCTGGGCAACTTGGCGAGACCTCACCTCTACAATAAATAAAAAAATCAGCTGGGTGTGGTAGCACGCGCCTGTAATTCCGGCTACTCGGAAGGCTGAGGAGGAAGGATCGCCGGAGCCCAGCAGGCGAGGCTGCGGTGGCCAGGAGTGGCCGGGAGCGACCACTGCACTCCAGTCTGGGCGACAGAGTGAGACGCCAACTCAAAAAAAAAAAAAATTAAAAGAAACACAAATGTCCAGGTGCAGTGGCTCACATCTGTAATCCTGACACTTTGGGAGGCTGTGGCAGAAGGATCACTTAAAGCCAGGTGTTCAAGACCAACCTGGGCAACATAGCAAGACTCTGTCTCTAGAAAATAAATAATAATAAAAGGAGCACATGGATGCTTTATTCTAGAGGGAACCATACAGCTAGATACCTCACCTGTTAACCTCAGGACAGGGTAGGCTGGCCCAGGCATTAGGGGCAATGGCTCTGTTCTGAGGCTCTCCACTCCCACACAAAGATGCAGTAACATGGACCATCTAGGAAAGTGTAGCTGATGGGAGGTACCAGAAAGTGACCCAGGTCTCTCTATGAAACTGGGAGGACTGGGGAGTGTACAGAGCATGGGTGCTGGGAGGGCTGGGCAGTGTACAGAGCTGGGATGCACAGGACACAGGCTTCTGGAAGACAAAGAAAATCCCTAGACAAGCTGGTAGGGGAAGGGAGGAGTGCAGGGTTGGTTCACACAGGGCATGGGAAGATGGCTGTGTTCAGAGGAGCAGGGAAAGGTAAATCACAGAGACGGAAACCTGGGAAGATGCTTGAATGCCTTCTGCTGTGGACCGAATTGTGTCCCCACAAAGTTCATATGCTGAAGTCTTAACCCATATGTGAAGGATTTGGAGATGGGGTCTTAGGGAGGTAAAGAAGGTTAAATGAAGGTCGGGTGCGGTGGCTCAAGCCTGTAATCCCAGCACTTTGGGAGGCCGAGGTGAAGAGATTGCCTGAGCCCGTGGGTTCGAGACCAGCCTGGGCAACTTGACAAGACCTTGTCTCTATAATAAATGAAAAAATTAGCTAGGCATGGTACTGCATGCCTGGGGTTCCAGCTACTTGGAAGGCTGAGATGGATGGATTGCCTGAGCCCAGTAGGTCTATGCTGGGGTGGCCATGAGTGTGCCACTGCACTCCAGCCTGGGTGATGGAGTGAGACCTCAAAAAAAAAAAAAGGTTAAATGAGATCATGGAGTGGGACCTTAATCCAATAGAACTGGCATCCTCATAGGAAGAGCAAGAGACGCTAGAGATTGCTTTCTCTGCATGAACAGAGGAAGGGAAGGCCATGTAAGGACATCTACAAGTCTGGAAGAGAGGCCTCACCAGGAACTATCCTTGATCTTGGACTTCTGGCCTCCAGAACTGTGAGAAAATAAAGTCCTGTCATTTCAGTTCCCAGTCTATGGTATTTTGTTATGGCGGCCTGAGTAGATAAAAGCCTGCCAGTCATCATTATTTGAGGGGAGGGAAGTTTTCTGAACCAGCTTCAACCAGTGCAAACCAAATTTTGGAAAGCAAACCGCCCAGCCATATTGAGAACTACTATGGCTTTTGTGTTCCTTGAGCCCTTAATTTCGTGTATGTTGTTTTTTTCCCTAAAGAATTAATGAAAACAGAGGAGAAAGCTACTACAAAAGCTGAACTCCTTTCTGCACCAAAAAGTAAAATGCACCCGAGTGACTAGGATGGTCACTTGCATGAAGTTAAATACCCAATTATAGAGAAACTGTGGCATATTTGAATGGCAGAGCCCTTCAAGGCAATAGTAAGAAGGCATTAAGATAATTAAGAGGACTAGCCACACAGAAGAATAATTTATAGTGTAGCTCAAGAAGAAGAATACAGCTGCTTACTCTATTGTAATTGTGTGAATGTGGTGGATATTGTCATTATATTCTAGCAGAGAAATTGTAAAAATGAAAATAGTTGTGTTAGGGTCATGGAATTATGGGAACATTTATTTTTGCTTTTTTAATTCCCTTGAAAGTTCTTTATCTACAGGGTTTTTATAATTAAGTTCATTTTTCACCATTGTGAAAAGAATTCTTCCATTTAGGGAAAAGCTAACAAACACAGTGAGGGGAAAAACATTTCCCATGCTCCCACATCATGGAAACTATTACTTCTGACACTGGAGTGTCTGTATATCTGTATATCTGTCTCCTAGTCACTTTTCTACATATGAGATTTCTCTCTCTCTCTCTCTCTCTCTCTCTGTGTGTGTGTGTGTGTGTGTATGTGTAGGGGGGTATACAGTCCATGTGCATTCTCATTATAAGTGTGTCTCTCAGGTATCTTGAATGAATGAATGAGTGAGCTATCTGGTGGGTCTCAGGAATACACTATGGGCTTTTTTTGCTCAGGCAGAACAAGATGGGTTGGTGTGATTCTGATGTGGAGACAGGCAGATCCTCTGTTCCACCCACCCTGAGTCCAAGGAAAAATCAGGGGTTAAGCTGTTCCCTCAGCCCTGAGAGGCTCCTGGGACAGGCCACACTTGGGAACCATGGACTTCTGCAGGGAAATTATTTCAGGAAACTTGGACACAACCTAACTTGACACTTGCAGGTTCCTAGAATCACCCAGTGCCATAGAGTACAGATTACCAGATCTCCCACCCAACCCCCCCATCCTGCCGCCAGACTGACCAAAGCAGGGTCTTGGGTTTAACATCCACCACCCTCAGGTGATTTTCATTCACACCTACATAGGAGATCCGTAGCCCTTGGAAGTGCCAGGTCAGCCTTCTTGTTTCCATACAGGAGTCTTCCAGGACCAGGTTTGCTGGACCTGGGGGTCATGCCAGACTCGCTGGACCGGAGGCTTACACATTGAGGGGTCCCTCTTCAGAAGAAGAATTCAAAATCATAAAGATAGAATTAAGGCCAAGCTCGG